AGTACTTACCTTTGAACAATCTAAGTCTTGAAGAATTTGATAGCTACAAAAGGTAAGTAATATAATGTTAGATTTTTTGATTGATTAAAAAAAAAAATATTTTAATATTTTTTTTTATAGCACTCACCTTCGAATAATCCAATGCTTGAGAATCTAGTAGCTACAAGAAGGTAAGTAATTTAATGTTAGTTTTATTAGTTGATTAAAAAAAAAAAATAATAAAAATATTAAAATATTTTTTTCATAGCACTCAACTTCAAATGATCTAAACCTTGAAAAATCTGGTAGCTATAAGAAAGTAGTAATATAATATTAGTTTTTATAATTAATTAAAAAAAAAAAAAAAACATTAAAATATTTTTTTTTCATAGCACTCATCTTTGAATGATCCAATGCTTGAAAATCCAGTAGCTACAAAAGGTAAGTGATTTTAGTTGTTAGTTACATTGATTGATTTAAAAAATAAAATTAAAAATTTTTTTTCATATCAAATTTTTAACGAATCCTATTATTTTATAAAATAGTTATGTGACATGCATTTAAAGATTGAATTATCATATCAAAGGACTGAAAATTTTCTTACACATGTAGAACTTAGAAGATGCATTTAGCCTCTAAGTCTTAAGCTTGGGATCAGAATATTATGTGTATTTAAAGAGGATGTGCATTTATAGAGTATACATTTAGAGAGGTCTAACTGTATATGTGAAAAATAAAAAAGAAGAAAAAAAAAAAAATATATATATATATATATATATAAAAATATTTTTTTTTAAAAAAATAAAGTAAAATTTTAAAAAACTAAAATTTTAAAAAAATAAAAAAATTAATTTAAGTTACTGACTAGAATAAATAAGATGTAAATTTATTAGATTTATTTAAATATATATTATAATAATATATAGCAAATTTTAGGAAATAAAAATAATAGATAATTAAATAAAATAAAATAAAATAAAATATAAAAAATTTTTGAACTATTATTAATTTTACTAAATTAGATAATGGAATGCTAATTTTAAAAGGTAAGTTGTAAAATTATTTGTTATTTTTATTTTTTAATTTTATTTGTGAAATGATGCCATCTTTTCTTGAAATATAATAAAACTCTATTAAGTCATTTACGTAATAAAACGTCTGTAATACAAAGGAAGTTTCATAAAAATTAGGAGTTCATGTGAGTGATATGCTAGTATTCTGCATAAAATTAGCAATATTTCTATAGAATACTTATCTGGCTGACTGAGAAAACCTAAAAAAATGCCATTAATTGAAAATTTTATAGAACAATCATTTCACTACAGCTGGTAAAATTAAAGCAAAGTAGGAAGAAAATGATAATAAACTCAAGGTCAGTGAATATATTGTACATGATGAGTTTGCAAACCTCATTTATGTTTCTGTTTTTACAAAAAAAATGATCATAATATACCTCTTGAAACATTTAGCATGACTTAAATAATCGTCTTTCAAGGCAGATTCTTTCTAAACTTTTGTATAGCCCAGATCTGAATTCTATTAAGAAGGTATAGGTTGTTTTAAAGAGAATTGTTAAAAGAAAGGTCAAGAATTTGGTGGCAAAAGATAAATAAATTTCTCAGTAAATTTTTCTTACTATAATTTAGTAGCAATAGGATGATTTCAATAATGATATATAGTATTTCGCAAATCAGATCAAATTAGATTTTATTCAAATCTGATCTGATCTGATTTTCATTTTCAGGATCTGAATTTGATTTGAATCTGACAGATCCGTTGAAATTTAAATTTGATTTAAATCTGATAGATTGAATCTCAAATCCAGATCTGACAGATCAATTTAAGTCTAAATCTGATCTGATCTAAATCTGAAAGTATTATTAAAAAAATGAATTTTTAATTCTAAAAGAGATCTGAAAATATTTCTTTTTAATGAAAGAAACCTTTTGACTCTAAAAGAGTTTTGAAAAGGCATTCTTTTTTATTGAAAGGAACTTTTCAGCTTTAAAAGAGTTCTGAAAAGTTATTCTTTTTCATTGAAAGGAATCTTTTTAGCTCTAAAGAGTTTGAAAAAGTCATTCCTTTTTATTGAAAGGAACCTTTTTGACTCTAAAAGAGTTCTGAAAAGTCATTCTTTTTCATTGAAAAGAACCTTTTTAGCTCTAAAAGAGTTCTGAAAAGTTGTTTCTTTTCATTGAAAGGAACCTTTCAGCTCTAAAAGAGTTTTAAGAAGTTGTTTCTTTTCAATGAAAGGAACTTTTCAGTTCTAAAAGAGTTTTGAAAATTTTTTTTTTTCAATGAAAGGAATTTTTCAGCTCTAAAAAAATTCTGAAAATTCATTCCTTTTCAATGAAAGGAACTTTTCAGCTCTAAAAGAGTTTTGAAAATTTGTTTTTTTTCAATGAAAGAAATTTTTCAGCTCTAAAAAAATTCTGAAAATTCATTCCTTTTTAATGAAAAAACTTTTTAGTTCTAAAAGAGATCTGAAAATTCGTTTTTTTTCAATAAAAGAAAACAAATTTTTGGCTCAAAAGAAGTCTGAAAATTCGTCCTTTTTCATTGAAAAAAATCTTTTAGTTCTAAAAGAGTTCTGAAAAGTCGTTCCTTTTATTAAAAGGAACCTTTTCAGCTCTAAAAAGTTTCAAAAAGTCATTTCTTTTCATTGAAAAAAATCTTTTCAGCTTTAAAAGAGTTTTGAAAAGTCGTTCCTTTTCAATGAAAGAAATTTTTCAGTTCTAAAAGAGTTCTGAAAATTCATTTCTTTTAATGAAAGGAACTTTTCAGCTCTAAAAGAGTTTTAAAAATTTGTTTCTTTTCAATGAAAGGAACTTTTTAGTTCTAAAAGAGATCTGAAAATTCATTTCTTTTCAATGAAAGAAAACAAATTTTTGGCTCAAAAGAAGTCTGAAAATTTGTTCCTTTTTATTAAAAAGGAACTTTTCAGCTTTAAAAAAGTTGAATTCAGATCTGACAGATCCAATCTGAATTTGTGTGAAACACTAATGGTGTATTATTTCAATACATCAAAAATATATCAAATCAAGTTCAAGTATGCATCAATGCAAGAGGAGATCATACAGAATATTAATTATATAATAAAAAATGTTGAGTTAGTATTACTCTTTAAATAATAAAAAAAACAATTGCAATTAAAAAATTTTTATATCTTCAAAAAATGTGTCTGTTATTCTTTCACCAGGGACTGTATTAATAAAAAAATGATCAATTCTATATATCTCTAAACTCTTAATTTTCATTTTAGTTAATTTTACATAATATAACTTATGAATAATCTAAAATTAAACTAATTTATGCAAATTCTATTTGTTTATTTAAAAAATATTCTTATATAAATACTATATAAATCCTTTGATGAATTATATTAGTATACTTAATTATAGAATTATAAAATATAAGTTTTATTTATAATTTTTATCTATGATTTTTGCATGTATTAAAGAATTATAAAATATAAGTTTTATCTATAATTTTTATCCATGATTTTTGCATGTGTTAAAGAATTATAAAATATAAGTTTTATCTATAATTTTTATCGATAATTTTTGCATGTGTTAAAGAATTATAAAATATATATTTTATCTAAATTTTTTGTATGTTTTTATTCACTTTTTCAAATTAAGTTTAAGGTTTTTACTAAGGAAAAAAACTTAAATATTATACTGAAATTCATAAAAATTATATGTTATAAAACTTAATATTTTTATGGAATTTTATATTAAATATTTTATTGGAAAGGTATTAAGCTATTTAATTTTTAAGATTATAAAATTTATTGTATTTGATAATAATATAGATAAGATATGAAGATACAAATGATAATAATATTGCTAATGATTAATCAAAAAAAGGGTAAAATCAAAATTTATACACTATATACCTAATTTTAAAAGTTAAATATGTAATATACAAATTAATGATTTATTATTGAAATATTTCAAAAAATTATGCATTAATTACAGTATTATTAAATTTCTATTGTAAAACTTTAACTTTTTATCCTCAACACTTCATGATAGTATTTAGTGAATAGAAAGAGAAATTTTATGAAGAATATCAAAATGAATTTACAAATTTTTAAGGTGAAGTTATTTAATATTAATTAGTTTTTTTTTGAATATTCTTTTCATATTAGTAATGCTAAAATGAAATCTAATTATTTAAAATAGCATGCAAATATTTAATGATTCAGTAACATTTACATCAAATGAAAGACTAACTACTTAGTAATACAGAAATATCATGAAAGTTTAATGTACCAATTTCTTGTTATTAATATTTAAATATCTTCTTTTTAAATTACTAACCTCGTTAATAGCAAAGCTTCTCGCATTATGTGATAAAATCGAGATGTCCGATCTATCCCATGGGTAGATAAATACTGGCTAATTAGATAGATTTACTTATAAAATTTCCTTTTTTTTTTTTACATTTTACATAAGCATGTTGAAGATCGGTATTCATTGGGCGGATTTGATGCGCAGACCGTGCCCGCAAACTCCGATTAAAGATTGAGTAGCACAATCCAAAGAAATTAGTTCGGACCTTTCTTTTCCGTGAACCGTAACATAAAATACACCTATATTTGTGTTTTAATGAAAGTTGTTGAATTTATAATTTAACATTTAATTATGATAATGGAACTACGGTAATAAGTTATGATACTTGGTTTCACTATTTTAAAATTTATAATGATTTTTTAGGTGAGTCATGAAAGTTCTGCGTCTTCTTTCCATTCTTTCCGAATCAGATGAAAGAAAAGGTCTGTTTCACGATTAACTTTCCAATGTGCTTTAAGAATATACGGAATTATGAAACCGGACCCATAAACTATATAAAAATGTGATTTTTCTTGATGAATCCATCTTTTAAATTTTTATATTTTAAAAAAACTATTAGCCCGAATTAAGTAGACCATTTAAAAGATAACCTTGACAAAAATCAAATTCAGCAGATTGAATTGTTTTTTAAATTTTTTAAAAAAATAAAACGCTATTGATAAAATGATTCAACCGATACCTTTAGATTCGGTTCCATCAACACCAGACACACCCAAACCGCCATCAAGACAAGCAACCGTTAACAGTTATGAAAGTAATAACTCAAACAAAAAAATAAGAGTCAGAGAACAAAATCGAAATTTAAGTATCAGAAGTCGAAAGAGTGCAAAAAGTTATCAAAGTCATAGGAGGGAAAATCGTTTGCCATGGGTATTGGCGCCATTGGCAAGAAGGGTATTGCAAAAAACACAGAGTTTAGTATCGATAAAAATGCCACCATCAAACCCACTTTCTGAAGAGGAAATCGATAAAAAGTTAGGAGAAATTTATGATATAGCGAGAACTGACACGTCAAGACCGAAAACTCTTCAGCCATTTTGGGATCAGTATTGTGATTGGTTAAAATTTGGGAAAGATCATGAGGATTCACAATCCCAAATTGAATATTGGACGGCGAAAGATGGATTTCTTGATCTCAATAAATTGTTAAAAGAATCAAAACGCGCACCAATTTCCAGAACGAAATTTCAATCTCATATGAAATTACCAGATCGCGTTAGATATCTAAGTACTTTATCAAATAATCTTTTAAATACCAAACTAGGAATTTTAACATATTTTCAAGTCATCTTTTTGTTATTACAATATACATTGAATATCGTATTTATATCTCAACAATTAAATGATGTGATTAATTTTAACGCTGATTCGTTACAAGAATCTGTCAGTAAAGGTATCAATCTACCCAAGACAAGAGAGGAATACATCAAATCATCAATTGGGATTGGATATCTTCTTGAATTTTCATTTTTAGCCACTTTAATATTCACAACGATACTTCAATTAATTACATTCATCACAACGACTTCTATCATGAATAAGGGAATCGTATTTTTAAATTTTATCGTGAATATACAAAAAACTGCAGAATTTTCATTATTTAAATTCATTCATTTATTAAATCCATCATCTTATATAATGAAATTTCATGAACCTCCTTTATTAGATTTTATATCAAATGCGGTTAAATTTACATTACGTAAACCAACATATGAACCAAAAGTTGTGTTAATTTATAAATTATTTTACACCTTCATAGTCAAACCAATATTTTCATTATTAGGTTTAATGGCCCTTTACATCAAATTACTTCAAGTTTCCACTTCTTTAGAATGGTTAAATAGATTAAATTATGATACTTCAGTATTCGTTGAAAGTTGGAATAATTATAACTATATTTTAAATTTTTTGGGTTTGGCCAATAACATTGCTGGTCTATATGGTCTACAACCTCATGAAGAAAGGCAAGCTTTCTTTGTCAATCATAAAATTTTTGAATTCGATTTTGTTTATTCTTTACTTGAACATTTTCAGGAAAATCAATTTTATAAGGGTTATTGGAACCTTACTTTGTATGCTGTTGGCATCGATTATAAAGATTTAATTGAAATATTTTGGGAAGAGGTTTATGGTCCTGATACTGTTGAATCTATTGAAATGATTTTCGTAACTGATCCAGTTGAAATCATCTCAACGGAATCATGATATATTTATGTAAATAATTTTGTATTTTTTTTACTTATTAGAAATTGTATTTTTAGAATTATAATAAAAATAAATAGTAATAAACTATGTTTGTGGTATGCTTTCCTTTTAATGCTATGGGTGGGTTTTATTATGACTGATTGTGATGCTTAATTAAAAACCAATTTTAACCGCATACGGGAGACTGTACAAATCATTCGACTCTTCCATACTTTTAATGCAAGCTTTAACATGTTGACTTTAAATCCGCATAAAAGAATACTGCATTCCTTGCAAATCTAGTTAATAAATATAAATAGACAAATAAGAATAAAATTTTGTAAATTTGAATTTACTATTAATATATTACATATATATAAATTTTTTTTTTTTTAAAAAAAAAAAAAGTAGGTTAAACTTTTTCAACAAATTCCATAATATCTTTGTTAAGTTCTTTTGATGTTTTCCCATAAAGGACAATGACCAACATCTTTATAACTAGCAGTTGTACTATGAGAAGCAAAATAAAGACTATGTTCTTAATCAATAAATATGTCTTTTTCTCCAAAGAATATGCAAATCGAAAGTAAAGTAATAGATCAATTTTGTATTTTTTTTTTTTTTTAGGGGAAAAATAATATATATGATACGTACTAGCAAGTGAATTTAATTGATCACTTAATCTTTTGAAACTAATAAATAATTCACTCATTCCAAAAAGAACTTTTTCAAAATTTCCTTGAGGATCAAGTAAACTTTCGGTGGCAAGAACTAAATGATCGCTAGGTGATTTTAAACAATGAACCGCACCACTGGATTAACACGAGACCATCAATTCTTAAATTCGGATAATTTTTCATAAAAGTTAAAGATACAGGTGTACCGATTGACCATCCAACTAATATAATTTTAAGAGCTTGGTGACCACAGCAAAAAGGTCATAAGCATTTAAATCGAGTGGGTAATTTGGATTATCACTATTACCCATCCCACGATAATCATATCTTACAAGATGAAACTTTTGGTATAATTTAGGATCAATCCATTGAGATCCCAACTTGTCCTCGAAGTAAAAATCCACTTGAAAGTATAATGGTGGTTTTGGTTGGATCTCCTTTTTCTTCTATAAAAATATTTACATCGCTTCCCCCTTTAACATGGTAACTTTTGGTACCATCATCTACGGGGAATGTGTATAATGGAACTTGTGCCATAGTTATTGCGATGGTAGCGAGGAAAACAAATAAATCGTTACAAATAATATAAAATGCTTAAGAGAAATATAAATAAATATATATATATATTTTTTTTTTCTTTTGGTTGGCTTTAAATTTATTTACTTTAAGTGAGGCGTAATTAAAAATGATAATGAAATTTTTAATTTAAGCCATTTTATATTTAAAATAGTTCGTGACGCAACTTAATTTTCTATTCTTATCTTAATAAGGGCTTTCATTTTCCATAAATAGTGAAGCCATTTTAATTTTTTTTAATTTTACGTCTTTATGCTAGGAAAATTAGTTAGTATACATACAAAAAAACATTGATGTCTGTACTACATGATAAATTCGCCAATTAAGGCGGAACTTTAATTTTTTGCAGTCCTAACATGTTACATTTATCTTTCGAACTTTCGATGTGAACCCGAAATATTTTATTGGACATGCTGCGCCAAGATTCGTTTATACCTCAAAGCCGCAATGTGACCGCGTTATTTTAGAAACATCTAACAATATTGTGATGAATTACCAGGGTTAGTTATAGAATTAGTAGTTAATCTAAGAACCAAATATTATGCTATTGCTGCGAGCCATTTAAAAGGATGTAAAGAAATCGGACTAAAACTTTTAATTACGGAAATTAACTTTGGGGATTTTTTTTTCATTTTTTTCATCGCAAAATGTGACAATACATTGCTTCGCCCGAAATTTGTTCATTTAATTATCACATTATCTGATACTACGTCACACAAGATAGAATATACTATGGTCATTTAATGGGACCATTACAAAACCATTTTGAAACCTATTTCCATAAATGAGTGGTACTTTTTTGTCAATAAAACTATCGTTGATCGCAGCATTCTTTGTAACACAAAGTGTCACCAATTTTGACATTCTATCATTTATTTATTGTTAAGTGTTACACATCAAAGCTCAAGTCAATTAAAAAGGTTCACAAAACGGATTATTCATTGAACGCCCTTAAAACACGGGAATTCCAATAAATTTTGGGGAATTCTCGTTAAATTATGAAACGTCAAAATCCATGGTAATTCTGGCACAAAGCCACGAGAAGAAATAATTTCCTGACAAGTTATTAAAATTTTCTGACATAAAGAGACCACATGATACAATAATTAAGGACAATACAAATATGTTAAATTTGTTTCAAATCAATTTGTATTTTGATGCAGCTAATCATTTATGATAAACCATTTACAGTAAGGTATATCTTTTAATTATGTTTGATTATTGGACAAATCTTTGTAAAACAATAATGTTATATGCAAATTGAACTCGATAAAAAGAAGTGTAACAAAAAAAAAAAAGAATCATATTTTTCATCAAATACTGTATGTTTACATATGAATAATCTTTTTTGATATCTATTTATAATTTGTATCCAATGTTTAAGATATGAAGTCGATTTAACGAAAAAAAAAAAATAAAAATTCATCTTAAAAAATCGTTTCAAACGTGAATCTTCGTTTCATTGAATCGATTTATGTAAATCTTTTGAATTAAATGAATGAACCGAATCAGTAAATTTTAAAAAATATTTAACCAATTTGATTTTTTTTTGGGGGGGTTAGTTTCTTTGTATTCTACGCACACATAGTTCGCGAAATGTTTCATCTTTCGTGTAACTAAAAATCGACTTCTTAATTCACATGATTGCTTGGTTCCAAAGGGAAGTCAAATAATTCATAAGATTCAAAAGATTAAAAATCTAATTTGTTCCCCACAAAAAAAAAGATCGGTTAATCACGTGTTAAAAATTAATTTAATGTAATATAAATAATAAAATAATATAAATGAATTTAACTTTAAACCTATAATAAAAAATCATTTATATTTAGTGGCACATTCATATTGAAAAGTGAAAACGTGGAAAAAAATTTCAACTTTTTAATCGCCATTTTTTTTTTTTTTTTTTTCGTCCTTTACTAACTAACAAACAAACACCCTCTTTACCTTTGTCTTTGTTCCTTCTATAACCTTGTTGTAGAGTGACGTCGAATATATATATATATATATAACTATATATTTTTTGTTGTATTTGTGACTATTACTATAGAACAAAGACACCTCTGACAAATATCTTATTTTTCCGTAAGTAACGCCTTAAAAAGTAAGTTTATTTTATTTCATAATTGATAATATCATTTTTTAATAAATGGTGTAAATCTAAAAGTTTTCTTCTCAAGAGAGAAACGAGTACGTTATATTTTAATTTAACTCGCAAAATATAACTCCTTGTTAAACCTCTATACACAGTTTTTGAGTTATATGTTTCATAATTAATGGAACAGACTACGCATAGAAATCGAAACCCAAAAGTAAATCCAAAACCCAAAGTTCCACCACCTACGAGACCAAAACCATCAAAATTATCAACAACATTTAATAAAGTTGATAACGACCCAAATTCATCCTCAGTCCTTTCAAAGCGTACAAATACAACACCAATTCGTGGAACGAACGTTCATAGGTTATCAAATTTATTTGAGGATTCAAAAGATGGTTCAAACGCAAAGTCTCGCGTGGTTCCATCTTGCCCCCGATCGCCAAATCCAAATGTGACCATTAAAAAATCAAAATCATTTTCAAATGAACATCAGATGACAAATGATTCGATCGAAATTGATGAGAGCTCGTTAGTGTTTGATGATATTAAAGCGAAATTTCAACAAGTTCAAGATAGGGCTGTGAGTGATATAATCGTATTAAAAAGTTTTTAGTACTAAAACCAAAAGTTGGATTTATGTAATTAATTGAGTTTCTTTCATCATATCTAGATACCGAATCCTACCAAAAGGCCAACTGCTCTCACTACCACCCATACAATTTCGAAAAGTCCGGAAAGAGGGTTACAATCAACGACTACAATTTATATTAATACAAACAATGGTAGCAAAACACGTGCACATACGAATATTAATAATGGTAAAAATAATAATACACCTCCATTAAAAAAATTACCTGGAAAATCGCGATCTTTTAATCACACATCAATATCTCAACAATCAGACCATATCTCTATAAATGACGACGACTTTGTAAATTTCAGTAGGGAATGGATAGATGTAGCCGAGGATAATTATTTACCAGAGATTGAGACTAAATCTGTAAAATTACCACTAACTAAAACTTTGTCAATTTCACGTTTGACAAACAATAAGCCTTACAATGATGTACCATCTTCAACAAAAAAATCAATTTCTTCTGTATCGCCGGAAGATTTCAAGGCAAAAAGAGAGAGCATAGCTAGTCTTCTGGTTATATCACCAACGATACAGCGGAATCTCGAGGCTGAGCATAACTTTGAGACTTCAAAAGCATTACCACCTATACCTTCTCCAAAAACTCCAACTGATTTAGTTTGCCCTTCCACAACTTTGGCAGTAGAGTTTTATAAAAGACCTAAAAGTGAAATATCGCCTCCAAGTGCTCCAAGTGGGGCTACAGTTAAAGAAGAACGACATGCTAACGATATTAAGAGAAGGAAGAAATTATGGAATGTCACAAAAGAACTTGTTGAAACAGAAATGAACTTTTTCCATGATATGGTACTCTTGGAAGAGGTAAGAACGATTTATAAATTGTTATGATAAAAATGCATGGACTAATCATAATTATTTTAACTTTTAGGTTTATTCAATTCCAGCACAAGAAATTCCTATTTTCAACCCTTATGATTGTAAAGCAATATTTAGTAATTTACCTGAAGTAATTGATTTTTCAGCAGAATTCTCTGAATTATTGGAAAGGGCTGCTGGTATGAAAGATTCAGATGATAATGTTGACAATTTAGAGAATGAAAATTATAGCACATTTATAGGAGCAGCATTTTTACAGACGGTATGAGATTGACTTTCGAAGAAAGGTAGATAATTTGATATTATATTATCCTTATTTGATATTTATTATAATTTTAATTGTAAACAGATAACAATGCAAGATGGTTATGAGAGTAGAATGGAATCAGTATATGGTGAATACTGTAAAAGGCATGAAGCCGCTGTTCAAAAGCTTCAAGAATTTGACAATGATGATAATGTTCAAGGATGGTTACAGGTTCCTATTTATTTTTATTTTATTTTTTTTAAAAAAAAAAAATTTTTCTTTAAATTCATTATTATTTTTTTCTTATTCTTATTCTTATTCTTATTTTAAAAAAGAAATGTAAAAATCTATGTGAAGGTCGAACACGAAGTTGGGATATAGCGAGTCTTTTAATTAAACCCGTGCAGCGTGTATTAAAATATCCCCTGTTATTGCAGGTAATTTGAATTCTTAATCTATATATCATATCATTTTATTTTAAGATTGATCTCCTAATTATATTCATTTATTATTTTTAGCAAATTTTATCACTCACAAGTCCTTTACATCCAGATTATGACGACCTAAAGCTTGCCTTCGAAGAAATACAAAAGGTTGCTGAAAATATAAATGAGATCAAAAGACGGAAAGATATTGTTGAAAAAATAGTTGGTAGTAAGAAAAAAACGGATGCTGATGTAAGTTTTTAAATAGGTTTCTTTGAATTATATTCTTTAAAAAATTTATTTATACTAATAGAAATTATTTTGTTATAAATATAATAATAGCTTGTGTTAGTAATTTTTCCAAACATTATTTCCTGTTTTTTTTTTTTGATTTTGTTTCAAATAATAGTTAACAATAAACTAATATATGTATATTTTTAATAGTCATGGTATAACAAAGTCAATAACAAGGAGGGGTCAAATGGTATGCTAAATTTAAGGATCGATAATAAAAACAATTTTCGTACGATTTATTATAATATTTACAAATTCTTTATTTGATAGATTAAATACGCTACTGGTTTATCCAAAGCTCGTGAAGATGAATTATACAAAGTATATGTAATAAAGTTCAAGAATTTAGAACAACAAGGAATGCAATTGATAAAAGATGTAAAGGATTGGGTGAGAGACGTTAATGGTAAGGATAATTATTTATCTTGCAATTAATTCTTATACTCGAATTTTCTGTAATGATATTAAAAGTAATTTTTCATTTTTAGTATTCTTTGAAGATCAACAGCGTATTGCTGCCGCTTTTGAAGATTTAAACACACTTGGAATTCAATTTTTCAAGTCTAAAGAGGAAAATAGAAAAGTAGTGGAATATGCAAAAGCTATTAAGGAACTTACATCAACACATGGAATAGAAATGGTATATTATCAAAATAAGTTTATTTGATTTATAAGAACTATATCAACCCCATTTTTTTTTTAAAAAAAATTAATTTAGGAGGAAGAAGTCAGAAGAAATATAATACCGCAGATCGAGAGGTTTTTGGAGTTATTTAAAGCACCTGCTGCGGTTATGAAAAAAAGAGAAAAAAAAATTTTGGATTATGATAGAGCAGAGACAATAAAATCTAAAGGTGGAACAGTAAGTTAAATTTTATATATCTCTTCATTAAATTTTTAAATAAAGATTATAATTATTTATTAATATTTTTATTATTTTGAATAGCTTGATAAGCATCTCCAGCAATCCGCAGATGCCTTTAAATCAATTTCAGATCAATTACATGAAGAGTTACCTGACTTTTTTGTACTCATGACACAATATTTTGACATAATTGTGCAAGAATTAATTAAAATACAATCAAAACTTTATGAACGGATGGGAATGGATTTTAGACAATTTTATTATAAATTTGTAGATTCTCAAGCATTAGATCATGTTTCACGTGATAGAGAATTGGTGTTGAGAGAAATGGATGTAGTTACGGAGTACAAAGAACATTATGAAAGAATAAAAATGGAAGAAAAATTAGAACTTAATATATTAAAAAATCCTGAAGGTAACTCAATAATTTAAAAAACAGATAATTTCAACAATAATGAAATGTAATTAACATTGATTATATCATATTTATAATTAGGGTTTGGAACAGATTTTAATGAGCTCGGTAGAGGAAAAAGGTCTAGTTGGTCAGGTTCATATGGATCTTCAAGGAAAGCCGATGATTTAAAATATTATTTAGGTAAATTATTTTAATATATATAATACAATATAGTTAATTAATTCATAAATTAATATAATATTTTCGTTTCATTATTTTCAGTGCCAAAAGATCACAACAGAAAAGGTGGATTATGGGAAGATGATTTAGGTATGTACATATATGCATATTTAGTTTTTAATCAAATTGTTTAAGCTATTACATATTTAAACAGTTTGCATTTATTTCCCAATAGAACATTCAAAATTATTGTATCAAAATTTATTATTAAATAAGGATTATTTGGGAATAAAATCTGATCAAAATCCATTTGTCAATAATTTTAATATTTTTCATGAAAAACCAGAAAATAAATATACACATGGAAAATATTTAACAGATAGTATAATTGATAGTAGAAGTAATAGATCATTAAATAATTCAACTCTTGTTGATGACGATGAAATTACATTGACGGGGAATGAGGAGACTGAGCAAGAAGAAGTGGATAAAGCAATATTTTTTTGTACAGCAATTACTACAAAACGTTCAAAACAAAAGAATTTGTTAACTTTTGAAAAAGATAGTTTATTAAAAATTATACACCTTGATGAGGGTGGTGAATGGTGGTTTGCTGTTAATGAAGAGACTCAAGGAAGAGGTTGGGTTGATCCCAAATATCTTAAAAGAATTGACTAAGTATCTAAAATACATTGAACATTTATTTTTTTAACATAAAAATTAATTTTAGTGGGAGTGGGTAGAAAGAAAGCATTAGGTTGTCGATATTTGTAGGAGATATATATATATATAAATTATCCTCCAAAATATATATATATTTTTTTTATAAATTCCAAAATTTAATAAATGTAAAGTATAACATAGTAACCTTTCTAATTCCAACAAAAATTATCGGAGGATTTTTTTTTTTACATTTAATTGGATTAAATATATAGATGGTGTATAATAATAAATTGAGAAACCAATACATTAGTGAATGAAGTACATGAATTAGAACTAGAAGGTTATTTCTTGCAGAACACCAAGCTCTCGTAGTTGGATATTCAGCTATCCATTAAGTATATAATGGATTAGTTAGTAAATGCGAAGACTTTTCTTGCATTATTCTATCATGTTAGACAATTAGGTCTCCTAAAAGCAAAGCATTCTTCAACATTATCAGACGGAATTATGAGAAATCCATTCAATTTTGAAGAAACTTGAATATTCTTTTGACGAAAAAATTAAACATTCATGACAATTGAACTTTTTCCCAAGAATAGCGTGATTAGAGGTCTGCTCTGGGTTGGTTGAATTTTGGGTAAAAATTTATTGGTCAGCGCAAAAACTTTTCGCGGAAATAGCATATGATTCAGTAATCTCCAAATACATCAAATTGATTACTAATCCAAGTAAATAGTAAAATAAAAAAAAGCCAATTTTAATGAAAGAAAAATCAATAAGGAAATTATTTTCTAAAAAGAAATTAGGTCATTATCAATTTTTTTATGAGAAAAAAGTTTGTCTACTAAAGTAAAAAAAAAAAAAAATATGGGCTTGCATAAAAGACTTTTAAATCTCGTTATTATACATAATAATTTGACATTTTCTATAAATATATAATAAATAAATAAATATATATATATATATAAATATATAGATATGGGCCGGTGCAAAAAGATTCGTACCTCAGATATTGCATCGATAAAAAATTTTTATTATGTAAATTTTTTTTTTTAATTCGAATATTATCACTATATTGGGAAAGATATAATATAAAAATTACGTCATATCACGTGATCATCATCGGAACTACCATAAGCGTCAAATTCTTCATCCATTAATTGTATATTCTCATCAGACTCAAAATATTTTTTAGTATTTTTAAGCGTTCTTCTCCAAAATCCAACAATGACTTTGAAGAAATTTTTTTTTTAAATGCATTTAATAGTGTACTTCTAACAGATAAAAGGTTTGGATGTGAATCTGATTGCGTAACTTCATCCTTCACAACTGATCAAACGCCTTCAATAGGTTGCAATTCACAATGATAAGGAGGGATAAAATTAACTTCATGTTCATATTGTTCTGCAATCTTAACACATAAAAATGGAACCTTTTCTTTGTTTATTTGAATCAATTCCAAAAGTTTTGGTTTTCTTAACTCATCTGAAAAAGCAATATCATGTGCATTTAACCAATCAATAATTTTTTGCTTTTTTGCATTCGAAGTTGAAATACTTTTAACCCGTCATTTATGATAGCTTGCCCCATCCATATAAATACATACAGACCCATATTTTTCATGAAGGTTTTGCAAAGAGTTGAAAAAAAGGTCCTCAAAAATTTTTGCAGTAAAATTTCCATGATAATCTACTTGGTTGAAAATAATATTTGCTTCTTTAACAACATCAGAAACATCATTCCATTCTTTAATATTATTCCTTTTTCTTCCTCTATTACTTGAAGGTTTAATTATTGAATTCCAAATATGAACAGAATTAAAAACAAGTTTACTATTTAGCTTGTTGGAAGATCCATTTTAGAATATAATAATTGCTTCAAAAATTACCACCAACAGATGCCAAAATAACATTATGAACTCATGTATTGCAAATATTATGATGTAAGTGGCAGTATGATTCATCAAGAAAAACTTTTAGATAACGTGAAATATCATTTTAGCCTTCTAAATTGGTAAATGAAAATGAAAATAACAATTACAAAATGCAATATTATTTGGTGATTCATGGAGGAGATTTCTACATTCTTCCTGACTATAATAAAAGCCTAACCAGTGTAGTATTTGAAGAAACTTCCATTTAGAAAAGTTATATCCTTTTTTAGCAAGAAACTGTCATAAGATATGTATAGAAAGTTGTTCAGCCGTTTTATTAGAATTTAAAATTTTCGTACGTAAAATTTCTGAAATATTTTTATCAGATTGCAATTTAAGTCAACTAAGAATTTTATGCAGCGTAAAAGTGTTATTGTCACGTTTGTTTCAATCTGCTACAACTACTCTAACTATACTTTCTGATATATTTAATGCATTAGAAACCCACTTGCGTAATGTGATCTTCTGATGGTTCTCTGTTTTAAAGTTAATTTCTGAAAAATAATTATAAACAGAGATTACTATTGACTTTTCATTATTAGTTAATGGTGCACCACTTCGTTTCATGAGGAAACTATAGGTAATAAAACAAAAAATCTAAGTGAAAAATGTTTATTCAAAGCTGTTCTAATATATATATTTTTTTTCAGCTCATATTATTTAGCTTTATAATATTTTTCTTGATGTAAATCCTTTTCTTTTTAAATGAGATACAAATCTTTTTGCATTAGCTTATATTTTGAAATAATTATTTAACTTATAAATATTAATCTCTTATTTATTATAATAAACTAATAAACTATTCAAAAAAAAAATAAATAAATAAAATAATAATAATATATTCTTTATATTAATATTATATATAGAATATAATATTTAAAATTTATATGATAATATATATATGTTGTAAAATCAAGAAATCACAAAATGTTAAATCACTTAACCTCATCAATGAAAAGAAAAACTTTTTAAATAAATAAGAGATTAGGAATAACTATTCAAATAAAAGGTTATAATAGATAAACAATTATCTAAATCATATGTTATAAAATAAAATCACATAATACA